CATCCAACCCCCCCCAGCTCCTTGTCCCCTGACCACCCCCTCCAGAGACCCCCCCTCCCACTAACTGCCCCCCCAGGACCCTCCTTGCTCCCTGTCCCCTGACTGCCCTGACCCCTGAGAGACCCCGGGACTCCTGTGCCCCATCCAATCCCCCGTGCTCCCTGACTGCCCCCTCCAGAGACCCCCCCGCCCCTAACCACCACCACCACCCCCGGGATCCCACCTCTTATCCAACCCCCCTGGCCCCAGACCCCTTACCATGAGATGAGGCTCCTAGCCTCCCCGTGGAGCTAAACACTGCCCCATGGGAGCGCGCAGCCCCGGCCCCCAGAGCGCTGCATGCGGCGGCATGGCTCCAAAGGAGGGGAGAAGGCGGGGGAGGGGCCGGCGGCTTGCTGCGCTCGGCCGAGTGCTCAGGCCCGGGAGCGTGGACCTCGCGGCTTGCCGTGCCGGGGAGTGAAGCCATTTGGCCACCCCTGCATTAGGGTGTGCCTGGGCACACCCAGCACACCCCGTGCGCACGCCTATGCATAGAATATCAGGGTTGGAAGGGACCTCAGGAGGTCATCTAATCCAACCCCCTGCTCAAAGCAGGACCAATCCCCAGACAGATTTTTGCCCCAGATTCCTAAATGGCCCCCTCAAGGATTGAACTCACAACCCTGGGTTTAGTAGGCCAATGCTCAAACCACTGAGATAGAGTAGTGCACCTTGAAGGTGTAAAGAACAAGCCTCCCACAGGAACGTGGCCTGTCTGGGCTCACTATAGGGAGTCACAGAAAGAGGCAGGGATTGCTGGTGCCCAAGGCCCAGTTTCAGACTTGTGGAGGCTGTGGGCCTGCCCCTGTGGGACTATGGGGACCCTTGGGGTCTGGCATGCTAAAGGGATCACTCCCAAAGGACGGCTACAGGCTGGCACATAGATCAGAGCTTGTGAATCTGACAGTTTTGTATCTTTCTTCCTAGATTCCTATAGAAAAGGGCTATCTGATTTATTGAAAACTGAAGGTAGGTTTATAGGACCAGATCCTGGAAGGTACTGAGTGCCCATAATTCCACTAAAGTCTCTGGGAGCTGAGGTGGGTCAACATTCCTTAGGGTTTGTTACAAAGACATGGAACCTTTGTAAGGCTGGAGTGTGCTTTTCCTTTATATGAACAGCAGTGTCCACAAAGGATGAACCATTTAATAGTTCAAATTAAACAAAACAACCAGAGTTAACACAATGGTGTTTAATTTGTATTAATGACTATGACCGAAAGACCTGTATTCACACCATACACACTACTGTCATAATCTCTGTACAAAATATGCCTTGTGAGGTATCATTTGAAAACTAATAATTCACTGATCAATAATATGATGGTGAAATGCAGGTAGCAAAATTATATGTAAAGTTCTAATTCCCCCATATGATGTTGTTAGCATGTATTCAAACTCACGTAGCCCTGACTAGGCAGAAGTTGTTAAACAGTCTGTCCTAAACAAAGGCACGTGTGTTTACCGCAGTTTACATATAAGTAGTAAACAGAGTCCTTGAGACAGCAAGAGAGGGTAAATCAGTTTTGCAAAGATAAAGGACAAGCTCATGCCTCTAGCCGGGTGTCATCAAAGTTGACTGTAAATCACCAGTCAAGTGGCCATTCTTTGGCAACGAAGGGGGGCAGGAACAGATTGATCTGCATTTTAACAAATAAGATGGAACCTCTTTCACCACGAGCCTCCATGTCTCAGTCTTCATAGCGGGAAGGAACTTTATCTAGGGGTAACCCTCAAGAAAATGCATTTCAAAGGGGGACTGGACTATAAAAGTGAGGGGCAAAAACACCCCAGGTAGTCTCTCTCTCCCTCTTTTTTTTTTTCTCTCCCCCCGCCCCCTCCGAAGAAGACAAAGGGACCAGCCTGTTGACTTTGGAAGGGATCGTGACATGAAAATTTGCTGGGAACATGTGGCAAGGATTTTACCTTGAACCAAGAGTAGCCTAAGTTTTAGCTACTAGAAAATGTTCTATCTTTATTTCTCTTGTAACCATTTTTTACTTTAATACTTTGTACTTGTACTCACTTAAAATCTCTCTCTTTGTAGTTAAATGAATTTGTTTTGTTTTTGTTCAAAACTAATCCAGTGTTGTGTTCAAACTGAACTGTTTGGGTAACTCCAGTTAAAGGAGCAAACTGCTGGATATTGTCCCCTTACAGGGGCAATGGACCTCTGAACTGCCCAGGAGAGGATTAGACTGTGCAGAACACAGATTTTTGGGACAATTTGGGACTGGGAGTGTGTTGGGATCACCCTGCAAGTAGTAACCAAGGCTGGTGGAAGCCAGAGTGTGACTGGAGTGTTGCTGACAGGCTGCTGGGGTCAGAGCTGTTGATCCAGAACTGCAGCTATACACAGACCCTCAGGCTGTTACCTACATGCTGTTAGGCTGTTTGTGAGTGGACTAGCTTGGGAGCTACACCAGCAAAGCATGTGAGACACCCAAGGTTGCAGGGCAGGTGGTGAGACAACCCCTCACTGGTCTGGATTGCACCCCACAATGACTCCTTCCCAGAGAATAGCAAGGATGCTTCTTGCACAGGATTTCATGGTGCTCTCCGGTATACTGCATGACAGAATGGGACCATCCTGCATTAGCTGATTTAGCCATTTCTATGACGTTAACAATCTTTAAGCTAATTGGTCATGTTCATTACTTACTGATCTCCTGAATTTCCAAACAGATTCATCAAACTTCTTGATCTTCTCCATGAGTTTGGCTTTAAGGTGGGACCCAATTTCATTAAGTTTATTCTGTGAAAATATGAAATATCAGGATTTTATGATTTAGGAACCACTTGTGCTGGGCCAAAATCATTAAGAGTCTAGTCAAACTCCAGCAGAGGCCCCTGGTGGTTGAACTTCCAGTGGGGAAACAAGCTGCACATTGCTCCAAAAGGGTGCAGCCTGGGCTAGAAAGGGGAACAGGAGAAATTTGCAGACTCCACAGCTCTCTGAAGACTCTCCTCCTTGCAGCACTCCTAGGGAGCCCTGGTGGGAGTTCAGAGTCTCGGGAACTGAACTAAGATTCAGTAAACCTGGGTTCTATTCCTGCTGGATGACATTGGGAAATTGCTTCCCTCTCCCCTTTGGTCTGTCTCTTCTATTTATACAATCAGCTCTTTGGGGGCAGGGTCTGTCTCTTACTATGTTTGTACCTAGCACAAAGAGCCCCCATCTGAGATCAGGGCCCCTAAGTGCTATTGTGATACATATAATCTCCACCCCCTCCTCCAATGGATAGCACACAGGAGGCTGCAGCAGAAACCGTACCCGCCCTCCACGGGCGTGAATCTTGCAATGCAAGAGGCCTTGCCATTGCAGTAGGCATGTTTTCCATATCCCTGCTGAGTTTGGCCCACTATCTTCTTACAGTAACATTGTCACATATGTTCTATATTCTCCCTGTGGTCTGAACACAGAGCTCCCATTGATCTCAGTAGGATTTTTATGCTGGGACAGTGTCCTTACTGTCTAGCTCTAGGTGGGTTGATCTTTTCAACTCCACTTTTTGCAAAACCCACCCAAATGCTGACTCATCCCAGATATAAAAATGGCAGCAAAATATACATTGTTATCAGGGGAGAATCCCAAACACCTCTAATGTGCCATGTTATTGGATACAATCCACAAATGAAACCCATCTGGAGGATGTTCCACTAATTTGATGAGGTTAAGACAGAGGTGGGCAAACTATGGCCCGCGGGCCACATCCGGCCCGCGGGACCATCCTCCCCAGCCCCAGAGATCCTGGCTCAGGAGGCTAGCCCTGTCCCCTCCCCCGCTGCTCCCCTTCCCCCGCAGCCTCAGCTTGCTCGCTCAGCCACTGGCGCAATGCTCTGGGCGGCGGGGCTGTGAGCTCCTGGGGCAGTGCAGCTGCAGAACCTGGCCTGACCTGGTCTCTGTGCTGTGCGGTGGCGGCGGCGGCGCAGTCTGGCTCCAGCCACTGGTGCTCCAGGCAGGGTGGTAAGGGGGCACAGAGCAGGGAGAGTTGGATAAAGGGCAGGGGAGTTCGGGGTGGTGGTCAGGGGGCGGGGGTGTGGATAGGGGTTGGGGCGGGGCAGGGGGGAACAGGGGGTTGAATGGGGTCAGGGGGCAGGGGTGTGGATAGGGGTCGGGGCGGGAACAGGGGGTTGAATGGGGGCAGGGGTCCCGGGGGGGCAGTCAGGAAGGAGGGGGGGTTGGATGGGGCGGCAGGGGGAAGTCAGGGGCAGGGGTTCCAGAGACAGTCAGGGGACAGGGAGAAGGGATGGTTGGATGCGTTATGGGTCCCAGGGGGGTCGTTAGGAATGAAAGGAGGGGTTGGATGGGGGAGCAGAGATCCAGGGGCAGTCAGGGGACAGGGAGCGGAGGTGTGTGGATGGGGCAGTGGTCCCGGGGAGGCCGTCAGGGAACAGGGGGGGTTGGATGGGGCAGGAGTCCCCGGGGTGGGGCAGATAGGAGGTGGGGGCTGGGCCACGACCCCCTCCCCTAACTGGCCCTCCATACAATTTATGAAACCCGATGTGGCCCTCAGGCCAAAAAGTTTGCCCACCCCTGGGTTAAGAAAATATTCTGTAGCTCAAAATGCAGCACTACTATCAACTGCTGCTAAAGGCATCTCACCTCAACTTTAACTACTGGATCTCCACACCCATGAGCCACCAAACTCAAGCTCTGGTTAACAGCAGTTAGGGTCAATTGTCCCATTCTTTCTTGCCTTATGCCATTAACGCTGAGATAAGTATTAATGGTAGCCATCTGTTGTCCATCAGTACATGCAGTGAGCTCTATTCCTTCCTCCAAGTCCCCTGGGAGAGTAAAAGGAGATATACATTTGCACAGACAACATTGACAGGCATTGGTGTTTTAAAGCCAGCTTTATAATTAATTGAATAGAGCAGTATTTATGCAATAGCTATAGGGGTTATGTCCTTGCAGAGAGAAGCAAGGACTAACTAGGAGAAACGTCAAATCAGCTTCATTATTAGGGTTTCTCCTGTTGTGTAACTTGTATATATTTTATACTAAAAGCGTGTAGGCTTTTTGAAGCATTGGCTTAATATAATAAGGTGACATTCTTCTCTCAGATCTCCATAATGACTCTTGTGCTCTCCCTTTGACTTCCGCAGTCTTTCGCTGCTGGAGACTTTAATTCAAATCCTGCGTAGGTCACAAATGAAAATGTGTTGGGCAGTCTAATCACTCATTAACCCTCCCCAAAAATGACTTTATGCCGTAGTTCCAACCACTGAGCCATTTCCGTGCAAGAGAATCCCAAGAAGGGAGAACTGAGGTGTTGCATGGCTTTTGCAGGCATTTCTCACAGCCTCTACATGCACAGGTTCTGAGTCAAGCCATTGCTATCAACCCTTCATTTGCACATTAAACCCCATATAGGCAAGGGGAGGATCAGTCACTCAAGACAGCTTTTCAAGTACATCACCACCTATTCAAATCCAGACTTGGTTGGGAGTTATTCACAAGTGACTACCACCCAGCCTATATGAAATGAGTTGTTGGGCTCAGTATACAGGGTCCATATAGTGAAAAACTATCCTCATAATTGGCACCTTTGTTGATAGGCTCAACTCCTCAGATTGAATGGCAATGAAAACTGAACTGAGCTGGCACTCTTTCCTCTCCTGTGTGTGCAATGCAACTGGCTGTCAATCGCAGCTTATTTTTATCAATTGCAGCCCTTATATACTTACCCTTTACATATCCCATGTAATACTGATGACACTCCTTTCCTTTAGAAGCAGTTACTTTTACTTTCTCTTTTTGATCAATATTTCCCTCCATCAGGACTTGGCTTTGAACAGCTGAGGAAGTAGCAGTTCCTGTCAGGCCTAGCCAAATATCCTCAGATGCTTTTAGCTGCATTCATAAGAAGAAGAAAAAATACATTGATGCAGAGCCAAGGCAAATAATAAATGAAGCAACATTCAGTGATGATGTCGGAATGCCAATGGATTCTACATAAGACTAGATGGCAATGGAGATATTTTTCAATGCCTGTGCTTTACACACAAGAGATCCTGTGTTGAAAAGCTCAAGCAATAGGATTATTGACTTGAGACAGAACAATTTGATAGCAAAGTGGGTCAATCAATTACAGCATTGCACACTGTGCCAGGCATGTGGATAATCTTTTAATGGTAGCAATGAAAGAAACACTGATAATCAGTTACTTGCTATGCTGCCAGCTTGTGCCACTCATTCACAGTGCATGTGCTGGAGTATAAAGCCCATATGCATGAGTTGAGTTTCCCACTTTTAATATCTCTTCTTTTGATATAGTTCTTTTAGAAGAATGTCCAAATCATTAAAATATTTGAAGTGGTAGCTAATGTTGCATAAAATAATTATGGTTAGCTATCAGTGTTCCTCCCTAAACATGCTCAACAAACGTCAGGTGCTTTTCCCTTCCCCATGAGCTCCTCCATCTTACTTGCTATCTACAAGTTAAAAGTGAGAAAGAAAGGTGTTTGCCTGACTTATGATCATAGTATCAGGCAGTTCTCCATCTCTCTTGCAGAGACCAGTGTTGTTTTCTGGCAATGGACCCTTTGTTTGAGTCTAACATTTTGTTTCCCCATTAATAAAATATGCTTGTTTTGGCTAAGATCCTGTTTTATGCTTCACCAACTAGGGCAGTCACTTAAACTGCAGGTGCTGAATACAATAGCAGGCTGTGGAGACCATTTAAAAAGTATAACATACACTCCAGTAGAGGTACACTTACTGCATTTGTCACCAAAATCTGCAGCTGTCAAGTCTTGGTACTTTCTTTTCTCTTGTGGTCACACTGCAACTGCAGTGCACACCAACACGGTAAAGGGGGTTGCTACCAAAATCAGGAAGCAAAATCCTTTTTGATTTTAAGCCTGCATTTTCCCCCATTTTACTGTCTTGTTAGTCATTTACTGCACTCGCACAGATTGGAAGCTAGATGGCAGTATGCCTTCAACAGAGAAAAAGTGACACTGGGAGTGCTATAAAGCCCTTATTTTAAAAGACTTCACAGATGTCCGTGCCCAGCATTAAACTCACTTCAAATTCCATCAAATATTTCTTCACTTTAGATGTGCTGTTATTCTTTAAGGCTACTGTGAGCACCCCATCCTCTCTGCCATCACCAGTATGGTGGAGTCTGCCTTCTGACTGCAGGATGATATCTCCTCTGTTGAGCTGATGCCTTCCAGAGAGAATAATTACCTAAATATGGAAAATGTCACTATTTAGGCTTAGTTTTACAATGGAAATTAAGAAGAGTAAGAGAATCTGCAAGAGTTGCCACAGATCTTGGCATTCTCTCAGTCACTCAGCAAAATGATGAACCACACTTGTCATTTCAGAAACCAATGCCTCTTAAAACTTACAGCTCCCTCTTACTCTATTGTGCCTCTAAATCTTTGTGATTTAACTACTGTACATTCAACAATCACTTATGCCTACAAGACTAGATGAATGGCTGAACTAAAATTGCACATCTAATAAAACAAGTGAATTTCCTTCTGGTCTTGTACTGAACTACTGTAGCTGTCATTCTTGTAGATACTTTTTTATATATAAGCAGAAGATTTTTAAAGCAGGAGGATACATCAGATTTTAAAGTGACATGTTAAAGATAGGCCCAAACTTCAGAAATAAACAACCCCCAAACTTTGAAAAAGTTTTACTGGGACCAAGATGAGAACCCTATTTTTAACTGGGCCCAAACCAGGGGTGAAAGTGAGCCGGTATGGGCCGGTACTCTGTACCGGTAAGAACCCGCACCGGCCCATACCCAGCCCACGTTAAAGCGCTGCCACGGCAGCGCTTTGAAGTCCCTGCCCCTTTTGTCTCCCCTGTTGGCGGCTCTGCCGGTAGGGTCCGTACCAGCAGAGCCACCGACAGGGGAGGCAAAAGGGGCAGGGACATTAAAGCGCTTTAAGGATGGTCCTTTGCCGCGGCAGCACTTTAACGTTTCTGCTTTAACGTTAAAGCGCTGCCACGGCAAAGGACCCTGCAGTACTTTAATGTCCCTGCCCCTTTTGCCCCCCACCCCTGCAGCCTCCGACGGGTGGTGGGGGCAAAGGGAGCAGTTGCCCTGGGGCTGATTTAAAATTACTTGGGGTTCCGGACGCTGCTGCTGCGCTAGCCCTTTAAATCAACACGGGAGTCCTGGGGCCAGGGGGCCTGGAAGGCCTGGTTGGGGGATGCTGGCTCCCCAGCCCCGCCCCTTCTGCCTGAGGCCCCGCCCCTTCTGGCTGAGGCCCCGCCCCTTCCAGGGGCCAGAGGGCCGCCCCGGCCCATACCGGTAAGTGTCCTGACTTACTTTCACCCCTGGCCCAAACCTGCTGTGCTTCCAACAAGGGAAGCAGCTGGGAAGATACCAAATTTATTTTACAAATACAGACCTTAAGTATGCTGGTGAATATTGTGACGCTTTTAATATCTACAGGGAGCTCTGGATTCTAAGCATGAAAATAGGACAGAACACAGAAAGATGACCAGTTTGTGTGTGTAAACTAAAAACGAACATCAAGCATGGGACCAAAGCTTGACCTCCAAATTCTACCACTAGCATCAGAGCCAGCAAAGGCTGGGAATGCTCTCAAGGCAATATAGCTAGGGATGAAGGAGAGCCTGATATATTGCTCTCTGGTGACCTCTCTGACCAAGTACTGGAACTGCATAGACGAGCTTGGGAAAGGCGAGGGCCTTTGAGTGAGGGCATGGGAATGGAGTGACTGGCATTCTTAAGGGGGACTAGAGAATCTCTCCAAATGGGGCATACATAAAGTAACGAGAGTTTGGTGGTAACAACTCTTTTTCCCTATCCCAAAATGCCATTCAATTTTTATTTATATTTTGCTAAATTCTAGAAACAAATATCTGGTGGTAATTTTTGTGGAACGCTGAGGCTCCATGAAAATCAGTCATTTAACTGGCAAATACTTGTGAATTGCAGTAGCAGCAATATACTAATATCTGACTTACATTTGGAAGGTCACACAGTGCAAGACTCATGTAATTATCCAGCCAAGTTGAGAAGTCTGTTTCTATTTTACCCAGCATATGTTGCTTGCTGCACGAGGTCAGAAAAACATTTTCCAAAGTGGCTTCTAACTGAATTTTATCTGGATACAATGGTCTGTTTCTCTGTATTAAACCAAGAAAATACTCTGTTAATGTAGCAATTGAATGAAAAATTATAGTTATCCAAAACAACAATTTTCTCCCACACATCAGGTTGCCAACTTCACTCCCCATCCCATGCTCGTGGTTTGCTTCTGAACCAAAAGAAGGTCCAATATACATATATAGCCAGCTAACTGATGGTGTCAGTTCCACGTCTCACCCAACTTCTGTTACCCAAAGAGCCAAAGCTTCAACATAATCCAAAAATACAGTTCTTTCACTAGGAAGCATGTTGGTTTTTCAGCATAACTACTGGGCCCCAATGTATAGCATCACTACAGTTTCATTGTATACTCAAGGCAAAAGTGATGCCTATATTTTATTTTAATTGATTTATTCTTAGCTAGTCTACAAATCTCTCTATTTTTCCATGTGAAAATAAAGGAAATCCATAAATAGTGATAATTTACAAAATAATAAGAAAGGAACCTCCTTCAGCTCCATGGAAAATGCTTATAGACTGTGCTTCAAAATCCATTCTAGAGTTTTCACTGAGTTCTAAGGTGATTCATGTGAAATTCAAAAACTAAGGATAAACCCCGTCAACACAGAAATTGCTTCTGCAAAGTATACGATGAGTAAACAGATATAATAGCCTTTTGATACCTCATATGTCAAATTCTGTGAGATTTTTTTTCCATCCCAGTCCAGATCTAGATATTCAGTAAACAAGACTGTTGCTTGTTTTATAGACCCACATGCCTGAAGACTTCCTACAGTTAATACTTTCTGAAGCTGGAAGAGAGAAAAATGGAATATACATGTTAGTGCCTTTGCCTGTCTTATATTTTTTTTCTGGAAAATTAGTTTGCAGTTATACAAAATGCATTTTATAAACTCTTAGAGAATTGCTATCATGGCACGTGCACCGGTGCAGAGAGCTATCACAAGTGGAGCCTATGCACCATTTAAGTTCTGCTTTGTTCCTGTTGCGAAACTTAAGTGGTGTGTAGTCCTTGCCATGGTCATCAGCACAAGAGTGTGTTTCATCCCGAATGCACAAATTATTTTTAGGCTTGAAACGGAATTTGTCTGCACAACTGTGAGAACACTTTAGATGGGAAAGGAATACAGTAAAGATTCCCCAGAGGTTTTATTTTATTTATTCCCTAAAGGTCTGCTAAGAAAAAGTCTCCTTCAAATACAATCAAAACTCAAGTTTTCATGACAACAGATGGGAAGCACTTTCAATGATCATAGCTGTTAAAGCTCAGAAAGTAAAATATGCCTACTCATATTGAACTCCAAATTCATACCTGACCCGAAGAAACTGCCACACAAGCATCCCAGAGGGTGATGTTGAACTTAGATTTATCTTCCAAAGTAATTTTGAAGTCAGCAGGCTGCCCACCATTCCAAGTGAGCTGTATCTAAAACCAGAAGAGATGGATTTCTACATTGATTCTGGGCTGCAGGACTAGAACTAATGGAACAGCCTGATAGAATCCTCCCAAAGATAATGTCCAGTGGAAACAACCATATTTGTTGCAATGACTACTATGGAAGGCCAGTATTTTCTATTCACAAAATGTTGAGGCATTTCTAAGTCTGTCCATGTTCCATGCCCTAGGCCTAGTCTACACTACGGGGTTAGGTCGAATTTAGCCACGTTAGGTAGATTTAAAAATGAATGCGTCCACACAACCAACCCCGTTCCGTCTACCTAAAGGGCTCTTAAAATTGACTTCTGTACTCCGCCCCGGTGAGGGGAGTAGTGCTAAAATTGACTTTGCTGGGTCGAATTTGGGGTAGTGCGGACACAAATAGACGGTATTGGCCTCCGGGAGCTATCCCAGAGTGCTCCATTGTGACTGCTCTGGACAGCACTTTGAACTCCAATGCAATTGCCAGGTACAGGAAAAGCCCCGGGAACTTTTGAATTTCATTTCCTGTTTGGTCAGTGTGGCGAACTCAGCAGCACAGGTGACCATGCAGTCCCCCCAGAATCGTAGAGCGTAGAATGTTTCTATGCTCCCCCTATCATCTGTCCCTGAAGTTATCGCAGATTAGAAGGCGAAAAAAACGCACTCGCAATGACATGATTTCCGAGCTTATGCAGTCCTCCCACACTGATCGGGCACAGCTTAATGCATGGAGACATAAAATGTAAAAACTTAAATATCTTAGAAACAGTAGCCAATCAGTTGTTTTAATTGTCATATTTGAATTCAGCACATCAAAATACATAATAAATAGCACATTTTATCTCTGAAGCAGACGACTTCTCAAAAATTGTAGACCAGTGTTTTCAAAGCCTCTCTGATGCGCAGCGTGCCTTGCTGTGCTCTTCTAATCGCCCTGGTGTCTGGCTGCTCAAAATCAGATGCCAGGCGAATTGCCTCAACCTCCCACCCCGCCATAAACATCTCCCCCTTACTCTCACAGATATTATGGAGCACACAGCAAGCAGCAATAACAATGGGAATCTTGGTTGCGCTGAGGTCTGACCAACAGCACCAGCGAGCTTTTAAACGTCCAAAGGCACATTCTACCACCATTCTGCACTTGCTCAGCCTATAGTTGAACTGCTCCTTACTACTGTCCAGACTTCATGAACGGATCCCCCGAGCTCGTCGCTGGGGAGCAGGAGAGCAGAGTTGCAGCGGAAGCGGTGGATGACGACGGTTAGCAGTCCTACTGCACCGTCTGCTGCGAAGGCAAGGACCTGCTGCTGTGTAGCAATGCCAGCTGCTGCAGGTGCCTCTGTGTCGAATGCTTGGAGGTCCGGGTACGGCAAGGTACCTCGGCCAAGGCAAAAGAGCAAGAGCCCTGGAGCTGTTACATGTGTCAACCACAGAAGTGCTATGGGGTGTTACAGCGCTGACCGAACTGGAATGTACGGCTGCAAGACTTCTTCACCAGTGACAAAGGACAGGAATATGATGCACCTAAAATCTAAAAAGGCCCGCACATTTCCCAGAGTCACTACCCTTGATAACAGAAGGTCAACGACTGCATTGGCTACTTGGATCACAGCAGCCCCCACAGTAGACTTACCCACAACAGCAGCGGTAATGGTGAGCTGAGCGGGCTCCATGCTTGCAGTGGTATGGTGTCTGCACAGGTAACCCAGGAAAAAAGGCGCGAAATCATTGTCTGCCATTGCTTTCACGCGGGAGGGGCGACTGATGACGTACCCAAAACCACTCGCGACAATGTTTTTGCCCCATCAGGCATTGGGAGCTTCACCCAGAATTCCAATGGGCGACGGAGACTGCGGGAACTGTGGGATAGCTACCCACAGTGCACCACTCTGTAAGTCGATGCTAGCCATGGTAGTGAGGATGCACTCCGCCGACTTAATGCGCTTAGTGTGGACATACGCAATCGACTGTATAAAATCGATTTCTAAAAATTGACTTCTATTAAAATCAACCTAATTTCGTAGTGTAGACATACCCCTAGAGAGTGTGAATGTTCTACTGAATTGCATGTTGTCAGGCCTCAAAAAACACCTTCTGCTCCTCTTGGCAAGTCCATAGGTAAACTGCACTTTTAGAATGAAGTCAATGAAAGTCTTTCTGTTGACTTCATTGGGAATTGGATTGGGCCCATAGTCCTTCCTCAGCAAAACTACCCTTGACATTAATAATTCCAGTGGGAGCTTTGCCTGTATAAGAACTGGACAAACAAGACTTATCCCTAGACAAATACTGATCACTACAGATACAATCACTTTTGTATTAAAACAAGTTGAGCGCTCTCTGTTATCTGTGCAAGGATCGGAAAGAAATCCCAAGCCCCAGAGAGAGTACTGCGCAATTCATGTGGCTTATTATTGGGCATTATTATCAGCTTCAGGTGATAACTTACTGTGCAAATGCCCTGATACTGCAGTGCAAATGCTATGTCATGCATACATCTTTCAGATAGGTCATGTAATATTTTCCATTTTTCTTATTTTGTGGGATGATTTGCAAACTATTTTTTCCATTCCTAGCATAAGCACTTTGCAGACAAACCTGGCCAAAATGTATTTTAAATCCTTTTTCCTTTTATGCAACAGATTTCCTCATTGCTCCCTACCTTCTTTTTTGTGTGGGACTTTCATTTGGAGCCTAAAAACTGAAGTTCTGTCCGTGCTGTATATGCATTAAAGAACTCAGAGCAGTTTTTATAGGAATAGGGATTTATGTGGCCGTTCTAGGCCAAAATTCATTTGACCCCCCCACTGCTGTGCCCACCAAAGTGCGATATGTACACTGGACATCAGTAAAATGTTATCAGTTCCCAAGAGTTACATGCAAGGGTATCTGATAAAGCAGTTATGTGTCTATACTTAGAAAAGGAAATAATCGAGGTATCTGTGACACTAGGACACAGCAATGTTTGGTAAATTACAGCTGTATAATGGTGACCACTGTATACGACTCTGGAAATGAAGGATACAGTATAACTATATTATTATAGATATTATTTAATTTGCAGCACCTCTCATTATCGTACCTGCTGGTTGTACTTTCCACCTTTTCTTTCAGACAGGGAACTGACCTCCAGTTGCCTCAAGGTGAAATTAAACGGGTGCCCGACAGTGGCTCGGTATTTTACATGCTCTTTTCCAAATTTCAATGAAGATGAAACTAATACCTGGGCAACATCAACAAACAGAAGTGGCATGAGCAACAAAACTCCTTACACGCACTGAACTGGGATATCCAACATAAAGCTGGGTTTGTAGTTTTTACTCACATGAATGACATGCTGAGCACTAGAAGTCAATTTTACAGCATTCTTACTATCTAAATCTCCTCTGTGGTTTCAGCAGGATGCAGCATTTCTCTCAGTGCAGTAAGGCCATGATCCTCCAAAGACTTACGTATATGTAACACCAACAGACCCCGGTCGTCGGCAGGCAGAATCAAACCGAGGACCTTTGGGGCTAAATACATGAGCCTCTACTGCATGAGCTAAAAGCCATGGCTGTTAGCTAAGACTGTAGAGCAGACTCATTAAATCTTTCTCTAAGTGGTCTCAGTGCCACTAGATGGGACAGAACACCACACCCAGGTGGTGTGTGGGTTACACACGCACTTAACTTTAAGCACTGCGAGCAGTTCCATTGGCTTCAAGAAGACTTCCCATGGCATGTGAAGTTTAAGTATATGCATAAGTTATGCAGAATTGGGGTCTAACTTGTGTAGTGTTATGCGAGAACTGTTTAACATTACACACCACACATGGAAATGGCAGCATACATTTCAGCAGTGGTTGAAGGGTTCCCAGTATATTCCTCTTCTACATTTCATTTGGGATTTTGGTGCTTGTACATTATTACTCTAAGGGAAGCTTGACTCTTTATTGAGGCAAATTCATTTTCCGTTATGGTAATGAGTTTTATACTTTACTTTTCCCCTTCCCATCATTAAGAAAATAATACTCTTTGAAATATACCTGTCTTGAGTAACATTATGCCAGTGTAACAACTTGTTTAGTGCCTCAGTATGTTGGCAATTATACCTTTGATCCAAATTCAGAGTATACACAAATTGCTTTAAGTCAGAGCTTGAGATGAACTCAACTATTCACCCATGTTTTTATGTTATAACAGATGATTCTGATTAAATTATGGTCCTTTACTTTACCAATTATTTTTAAAGGCAGATTTGCTCCTTTATTTTAAAAATTGAAACTGGTTTACCTATTACAGTGTAAAATGTATTAGACATTTTATGCCAAATGTATCATTCTTATTGCTAATTAGGAGAAATCAAAGAAGGAAAGGCTGTAATTAAGTCACTGATGCTAAAAATGCCTGCCACTTGGGTTATTTATTGTCTAACTCCTGTTAGTATGAATCTGACCCACTTCATTGAAAGAAACAATCTCTTAATTCCTTACAACCACCTCCCCCACTTCAGTGGCTTCTCACCTAATTCAAAATTCTTCTTTTGGCTTTGAAATTCCCCAAAGACTTTCTCCATTCTACCTCTTTGACCCTATATCCATCCTCTGCCTCATCCTGGTCATTTGCTCCTCCAATCTTGGCCTGCATGTTATGAACAGCTGTTTTTTGCCCTTTAATTTTGGGTTGAAATTCCTACAGTCTTCCACTCTGGACCATTTCCATTTAGCCTTTGGTTGCCTCTCTTTGTAAAGCAGTTTGTAGGGTTGCTGTATGTAGGATGTTGCACACGATAAAAGGCACTGCATTTAAGTAGCCCCACTAAAAATAAGGACTGCTCCACATTCGTAGTTTTTCAAAGTTATCTTAATAAGTCTACAGTTTTTCTCCTTCTCAAATTCCTTGACTATCTTTCTGTCTCATTTAGTCTTTTCAAACACACTTGATATTCTACAAATCTCTGCTGTGCTGTGTGCTGTTTTACCTGGTCCTTGTTGTTCCAACCAATGGTGACGTCATCCCGATGATTGTGTGCTGAATGCTCCACATACAGGTTGACCTTGGAATGCCAGGGAAAAGGGATGGAGAGAGGATGGAAAAGCTCCACTAAAAGAAAGAGTTCAAACAGATTAACTTCAGATTACCATGCTGGTTTTCTGTTACTTTTAATTAGTGACAGGGCACATGACATAGCACCTCAAGAAGACAAGGACAACATTTGGCACTTAGCAAGAATATCTTTTTCTTATAAAATCATTTTTTGTGCCATGTGTTGATTTCTACTGAACCACAGAAGATGGAAAAATTCTCTATTTACTAATAAATCAATCATGCAGTAATTAAAATGGTGACATCTGCTCAAAAGAAATTCCCATCGGGAACACCAGGAAAGTTGTTATTTTCAGATGAAGAAATCTCAGCATCGGGGGGCTAGATGGTCTTTCTAGACAGATCCCTTGGGAAGGTGGGAGCGGTAGAGGGCCACTGCCCTAGGGAGAACACCACAAAGCAATGTGCATAATGCCCCTGGGGCTCCTGGGCTGCCTTGGTGGAATGTAATTTACTACAAGCAGTTTCTGAAGAAGGCCATATGAAATAACCTAGCTCGCTTTACAGTCTCATCCCAAAGGATAGAAACAAAGGGCCCAATCTTGAAGTCCTTATTCCTTGAATTCATTGGCAACTTTGCCTGAGCAAGATCTCTAGGATTGATCCCAAAATGTTTGAACCTATCTGGCATTAAAATATTTAGATAACCAGCTTTTGTGTCCTTCACTTTTAAGTTTCCTTTATTTTCTGCTATCAAGGCTTCCTAGAAATTTGAGAAACCTACCCTTAATGTCATGACCTCCAGATAACTTTGGGAAGAGTCCAGTGTAAGTGCCTGTTACTTTTACCTCCTTGTAGTCCCACTGCACAATGTGTCTCAACAAATGAGTTCTGTTACTTTTTTGGTAAACCGTCATGAACACAAGCTGCCTTGGAAGAATTTTTAACTGCAAATAGAATGGGGGTGGGGAGAGGAATCCATTAAAAACCAGGGCTTCGGAGACACAAAAATCTAAAATGTGTAATTTGGGATTGAATTCACTGGGGCCAGTGGTCATCTATTAAATAAATGTTTGTATGGTGTCAATTCAATCAGGGCCGGCTCTAGGTTTTTTGCCGCCCCCAGCAAAAAAAATTTGGCTGCCCCCCACCCACACCCCCCGCCCCTCCCACCCTGGGCTCTCCCCCCCCCCCACCTGCACTCTCCTTCCGCCCCAGCCCTGGGTCACTGGTAACTCGCTCCCAGGGAAGTCTTCTGAAGGGGATATCTGGGCCAAACCCTACTCCTTGGGCATACTACTAGGGTTATCATACATCCGTGTTTTCACAGACATGTCCGGCTTTTTCGGTTTGAAATGGCCGTCCAGGAGGAATTTGTAAAACTCTCAAAAGGTTCAGGATTTCCCTCCCAATGCAGAGCGTGGTGCGGCTGACAGGGCGGCTCAGCCAGATTGAGCCGCTCGCATGGGACCTCCAGCAGCCAGAGCCCCTCCCCTGCTCCCCCCCCTCCCCTGCAGCCTCAGCGCGCCACGCCGGCAGCACTCGGGTGGAGGGGGGGGCTGTGCGCTCCGCAGGGGAGCGCAGCAGCGTGTCGGGCTCCGTGCGGAGCCAGACACGCTGGTCTGAGCAGCACGGTAAGGGAGATGGGGGGTTGGAGAAGGGGTAGGAGGTCCCGAGGGGAGTCAAGGGACAGGGAGCTGGGGGGGTTACATGGGTTAGGGGTTCTGGGGGGGCCTGTCAGGTGGCGGGCGTGTGGAGAGGGGTCAGGGCAGTCAGGGGACAGGGAGCAGGGCGGTTGGATGGGGCGGAGGTTCAGGGAGGCAGTCGGGGTCAGGGAGCAGTGGGGGTTAGATGGGTCGGGGTTCTGGGGGGGGGCAGTCAAGGGACAGGCAGCGGTTGGATAGGCGTGGGAGTCCTGGGGGTCTGTCATGGGGTAGGGGGTTGGATGGGGCGGAGGTTCAGGGAGGCAGTCAGGGTCAGGGAGCAGTGGGAGTTAGATGGGTCGGGGATTCCGGGGGGGGGCCCTGTCAGAGGCAGGGGTGTGGAGAGGGGTTGGGGCAGTCAGGGGACAGGGAGCAGGGTGGTTGGATGGGGCGGAGGTTTAGGGAGGCAGTCGGGGTCAGGGAGCAGTGGGGGTTAGATGGGTCGGGGTTCTGGGGGGGCAGTCAAGGGACAGGCAGCGGTTGGATAGGCGTGGGAGTCCTGGGGGTCTGTCATGGGGCAGGGGTGTGGAGAGAGGTCAGGGCAGTCAGGGGACAGGGGGTTGGATGGGGCGGAGGTTCAGGGAGGCAGTCAGGGTCAGGGAGCAGTGGGGGTTAGATGGGTCGGGGTTCTGGGGGGCGGGAAGTCAGAGGACAGGCAGCAGTTGGATAGGTGTGGGAATCCTGGGAGTCTATCAGGGGGCGGGGGTGTGGATAGGGGCCAGGGCAGTCAGGGGATAGGTCGGGGATGAGGTCCTAGGGGGGCAGTTAGGGTGGGGTCTCAGGAAGGGACAGTCAGGGACAAGGAGAAAGGAGGCTTAGATAGGGGGTGGGGTCCTGGGGGGCGGTTAGGGGCAGGGGTCCTGGGAAGGGGCGATCAGGGACAAGAAGCAGGGGGGCTTAGATAGCGGGTGGGGTCCTGGGGGGTGGTTAGGGGCAGGGGTCCCGGGACGGGTGATCAGGGGACAAGGAGAAGGGGGGGTTGAATGGGTTGGGGTTTCTGTGGGGGGCAGTCGGGGTGGGAATTGGGAGGGAGTGGATGGGGGCAGGGCGGGGCTACCCCCCGTGCAGTGTCTTCTTTTTTGATTGTTAAACAATGGTATCCCTACCCTTCACAGTGCAGCTCTCCATTCACAGCAAGCTGCAGCATGAGGTCTCAGCTACCTCACTCCCTCCCCCTCCCCTTTCCTGTTGATAGCGGCCAAGGGAATGCTGGGAAATGTAGTTCTTTCCCTGCTCCAGAGCTGGCTCTATAGGCAGGGAGCTAACCAAGGAACTACAGGGTTCTCAGCTCCCATGCTGGATCCCTGCCGCCCCTGCAAATGGGCCGCCCCAAGCACCTGCTTGCTTTGCTGGTGCCTAGAGCCGCCCCTGAATTCAATGGAACCCTGATCCCTCACTGAGGCTTTTATTTACTACCATTATATAAATGACAGTGCATGTCTGCTGTCAAATATCCTACTCTCTCTACTGTAACCAAACATACACAGTAAAGTACTGTAACCTCTTTGCAATATCTGTTTTCGTACACTTATTGCATACTCTGCCATCTCTAGCTGACCACACATATTAGGCCAGGGTACTCTCTCTATTGCACCACAATGTCACCATTTAAAAAAAAAATCCAGCGTTTGCACAAGCAGTTACTACAAACAGTGGTATAAGAAGTTTTCACAGTTTTCTTCTCTACTTAGACTAGGAAGTATGTGTGGTAACTGTGTAGCAAGAGTTGGCCAATATTCAATTTTAAATATATTACAACATTTTCTCTACAGCATGTATTTGTATATAGTGTGTACTGTCTATATGCATGTGCAGACAAACCCCAAACCAAACAGTGGTTACATTGTTGGACACTAAACTAAACTAACCGTGAGCCGTAGAATACTACAGGCCCGCTCCTGCTGCTAATGTAGTTGATAGCAAAACTCCTAATGGCTCCAACAGGAACAGGGTTAGTCCTGAGCATGAACACAAAATGACAGTGGCTATTTAGCTGATGGTACCAACCTGGGGCATTGTGTGCATCATTTCAATGACTTTTCTGTAGCTGGTCCCAGTGAAAGTTAACTTAGTTGTAAGATGGAAATCCTTTTTTTCCATCCTGATAGAAAACCCACCTTCTGCTTCCCTCATGGAGTAATTTACCTACAGGAATTGCAGTTAAAGTGAAAGAGAAAACTGACTTAATTAGATTCAGACTCTTGTTTCTGTGGCAGAGTATGTTGCATGAAAAGGTGGATGTGATTTGTCATTTTCTTTCTTACATTCATATTGTAGCATGAAAGGTTACAAAACGAACTCTGTTCTCAATGCTACGCATATGTAAGGCTGTGTGTCTGTCACGGAGGTCACAGATTCCGTGACTTTCCATGATCTCCGTGATTTCTGCAGTGACCGGTGTTGGCTCAGGGGCTGCTCGAGTCGGGAAGCCCCTGGGCCAGCAGCAGCAGTTTGGGTGTGTAGGAGGGGGCTCAAGGCTACGGGCGGGGGTGCGGGATGCTTACCTCGGGGTGGGGGGGGCTCCCTGGCTCCCACCAGCACATCCCTGCAGCTCCTAGGGGGATGGCCCAGAGGGCTCCGCACACTGCCCGCGGCTGCAGGTGCCACCCCTGCAGCTCCCTTTGGCTGCAGTTCCTGGCCAATGGGAGCTGCGGAGCCAGCGCTTGTGGCAGGAGCAGCGTGCAGAGCCCCCTTGGCCACCCCTCCCCCTAAGAGCTGCAGGGACCTGCGTAACCGGGTAGGGAGCCTGCCAGCCCTGCCAACTCTTCCCCCACCCCAGCACCAGCAGGGATCCCAGGCCGTGCGCCACCTGCCTCCCCCTCCCCCCCCAGCCTCCCACCTCTTGTCCCAGCACCAGCTGGGGGTCCCGGGCCTCCCCCTCCAGCACCTGCAGCGCCCCTGGACCTCCCCACCAGAGCACACCCCCACCCCCTCTGGGCCAAATCAGACAGGTCACAGGCTGTGAATTTTTGTTTATTGCCCGTGACCTGTCCATGACTTTTACTAAAAGTACCCGTGACTAAAACATAGCCTTACACATAAGAAATTAGGCTTTGTTACTCTGGCAATAATTGCTCACACACAAGTTGTCTCCTGTGGACAAATGACCATGTTATTCTTTTCTCCCACTTTGCTTTTGTATTCCACACCCACTGCTACTAGCCAGTTTCCAGAACAGTTTCCTCACTGACCATTTTTTTTTTTTTTTAAATAACCAACATAATGATACAGCTTTGGGACTGCAAAAAAAATTCTTTATGGATACAAAATTCTGGCATTGCTTTATCCAGTGCTTAGGGAGTGGAAACTACGGATATAAATGAATCCTTCCTATTGTGTTAGGAATGCTGATAATATTGTTTTGGAACATATCCAGCATCTTGGAAACGTGCTGTGCCAAAAAAAGCACCAATAATAAAAAATTAATAGCAGTTACTGCTAGAAATCCTGCTGTTAGAATCTTGAAAAATTAGATGGGTGTAGCAAAAGACATGGAGGGTGGATAACCTGTAGATAGTTACCTTTGAAGAAAGTTCAGCTGTGCTGGGGAAGTATTGAAGAAGGAAGGGGACATTCTGTAGGGCTTTTATATTCAGTTCTTCACTAGAGGAAAGAAATACATTGTTTGGACAAAAATATTTCTAAAACTACCCCCGAGTCACTGGAACACAACATTCAAAAGGGTCCAAACCACTGCTGGGATACGTGAGTGCCACTGCATAAGCCTCTGAATCTACCGGATTCTTGTGAATTATGAATTGCACTTAATAGACTTGTTCAAGGCAAAAGAAATGAAACAACAAATTCTGACCTCTATGGAAGATGTGCATTCCAAGGAAGTATTTGGCCCAGTATATAGGAATATGATTTTTTTGGAATGTATCACATGCGCATCACTGGTTTGAACATGGGACTTGTACTAGGGAATATGGGGCTATTAATATATTCAGTCACTGTTTCCAGATGAAAATTTGCTATTGTCAGAATTCTAGTTAAATGTGAATGAGTTCTTAGTGCAAAGGTCCCTGGCTGGAATATACTGAAATACATGAGTAATATTCCAGAATTTCAAGAGCCAAAATAATACAACCTCTCTTAGACCCTTTAAAAAGCTCAGAAGTTTGTGCGTTAGTCTTTCCAAGTCCTTTCTATTATGATATTTTCTATCTAATCCCTCTGAAGTGAATCACTGTTCTATTAATCTTTCTTAGAACATCCTTGAAAAGTTTTAGAAGAATTCTGGAAATAAACACGGTAAATACCACAAGTGTTATGCATCAGAGTGCCCCCAAATTAGAAGAATCAGGAAGTCTTCACTATTTTTACTGAAGTTTAACTGTGCTGAAGTGACTTTAATGGGAATTAAAACACATGCTTAAGTACTTTGCTGGGTCAGAGCCTCAGTCGTCTGGTCCCCTCCAAAGCAATACAATGGCAAAACTCCATGGAAATGCTGCCTTTCTCCTGCATGGTTAAGTAGGGAAGTGGAAATTTCATGCAGAGGAATTTTACTCTCCATACCACAGCTTCGTCATAGAAATGTTGGATGAGGCGGCAGGTGGTCAAGAGGCTAGTACAAAACATGCATCTACTTTCCCAAACCCCTGAGTTTGGAGCAGGCGAGGGGAACAGCAGACCATGCCTGCTAAATTTTCCCATCACCAGCAGTAAGGGACTGATACCATTCTGCAGCCCTGCATACATTTCCCTGAGCTAACAGCCTGTTTATTAGGGCTGTGTATTTTATTTAAGGATTTATTATCCACTTCCTTAGTATTTGGGCCATTTAATAAGGCCTTAACTGTATTTCTGTGATCTCACCAGCCTAATTGAATCTTTACAATTACCCAAATCACCCTCTCACCTTTGCTGTTCATTTTTCACAGTGATGGTGACTGAGAGGTTTGTATTTGGTTCACAGGTCAACTTCAGAGAGCCTTCAATTTCATTTGCAGTCAGGACTTCTAGGAATGCTATCTGGGGAGTAAGCAGAAAGACAGCAAACAGAATGAGTAAAGGGCAGTCTCTCACTACAAGGCTCTCTGGTACAAGACTAGTCTCTAAAGCTATTGTGTTGGAGCTGCTAACTCAAGCAAAGCCCAATGCAAAATGCCCCATTATACAACACAGTAAAACATGCAGGGTCTTTTAGCTCTTCACAATAAGTTATATGGGTTGTGTGCCCTTGCAATGTTCCTCAGAGCTGCCCAAGTCTTGATGTTGCTTTAACGTATCTTAAAGTGCTGGGCAAAGAAGTAAAGAGCTGACCGGCAGATGATAATTCTGCTTTGTGGCAGCTTTCAAGGTTTCAACATTTGTTTTCATTCCATGAACAAACCTTCTGAATGATTTAATGAAAGTGGGAGTGTGCGTGTGTCAGTCAGTCTCACTCAATGTAGCCTGGTGGTCCGAGCACTGGCCTTGGGAGGCGGGAAGTCCATGTTCAAATTGCTGCTGTCTGATTCAGCGCAAATGTTTTCATCCCAAATCAGGCAGAGCAGAGACTTGAACCAGCGTCTCCCACAAAAGGTTTGTGGAAACCGACACAGCTCTTCATAGTGTCTCCGCTTTAACAAAGCAGCGTATTTGCTGAATCAGCTCTACTGCTCACATTTAATGATTTAATAGTTGGTGACTTTAACACTGAGCTATAGTGGAGCTGCGGGAGACTTAAGTCATATTAAATGGTATTTCCTGCCTTCGCAGTTATAATGCTGACTTACATATTTTTGAACAGGTTGGTTTAGAAGTAGATTCCCCCCATTTTCCACCTGGATCCCTTGATTATCATAGTTAATCATATTGAAACAGACAATGCAGGCTTAACTCCCTTAACCTCCTTTGTACCACACTCTGATGCACTCCAGAGCTGTACTACATTACTACTGTGTCCATGAACACCGGTTAACATAAATGTATCCATAGGACCTACATGCTTATAGACTTATTGCGAGATACCTCATTTAGAGCTTCATCCTACAAGGTGCTGAATTCTCCCTCATGGTATTGAACACCCTCAGCTGCCACTGAAGTCAGCATGTGTCATGTATGCTGAGTCAGCAGGAGCTGAGGGCACTTAGCTTGTCGCTGGAGTGCTCAGTAATTCTGGATTACACCCATGCTTCCTACATGCATAAAGCACTGAAGGAGTCAGCCTCTCAGTGCTCTTCCTTTTCTCATGGAGACTTTTAGAGGATAAGACGTTACAATAAAAGATCTCAAGGTGGGAAAAGCGAGAGGGTAGTTCCTGTCCTCTTTAGTAAGATGTTGGCATTAAATACTTAATATTAATTTCAACATTGATAATATGAGGATCTAATATGGATCTAATATTTATTTTAAGAAAGATGTACCTTAATCTACATCAGTCTCCTAGCTACATATTATCTCATCTCAGGTAGGAGGCTACATCAGGAGCTTACTAGCACTGCTTCTATGCGTTACCCAACAGAAGGTAAGGAGACATTTCAACCAGTACCCTTCCCAAGAGATGAATGTGTGCAGTCTTTGCTGACCCCTTGTGGGTGGCTTGGAAACTTCAAAATATTGCTTGAATAGTAAACTTGAGTATGGCGAGAGGCAGTGAAACGTGCGGCAGTCATTGCATCTGGTCAAACGTCCCTGCTGAAGTGCTACAATGACTTAAACCAAAACACAGGAATTCTATATCAGGGTTGTGTGTATAAAGCTGTTTTCAGTAAAGTCTTTTTGGTTTGCTAAGAATCTGTTCACATTAGAAAATGTGATCACCATGGCTTATTTTAAATCTGCTCCTTTTTGAAGTGCATGTTTGACCACGTAAGAACAGGTTTCAGAGTAGCAGCCGTGTTAGTCTGTATCCGCAAAAAGAACAGGAGTACTTGTGGCACCTTAGAGACTAACAAATTTATTAGAGCATCTTAAAACAGAAAACTTCAAAAACAGACTCCAACGAGAGACTGCTGAGCTGGAATTGATATGCAAACTAGACACAATCAACTCAGGATTAAATAAGGACTGGGAATGGCTGAGCCATTACAAACATTGAATCTATCTCCCCTTGTAAGTATTTTCACACTTGCTTCTTATCAAACTGTCTGTACTGAGCTATCTTGATTATCACTTCAAAAGTTTTTTTTCTCTTACTTAATTGGCCTCTCAGAGTTGGTAAGACAACTCCCACCTGTTCATGCTCTCTGTATGTGTGTATATATATCTCCTCAATATATGTTTCACTCTATATGCATCCGAAGAAGTGGGTTGTAGCTCACGAAAGCTTATGCTCTAATAAATTTGTTAGTCTCTAAGGTGCCACAAGTACTCCTGTTCTTTTCACGTAAGAACAGAAATTTCTACTACCTACTGGATTTACTTGGAAGTGGACTGTTAGCTCTGCATGATATTTATTTATATTAAATAAATATTTGGTTACACTATGCCAAGACCTGCTCTCACCTACACCATTCTAAATCTGGAGTACTGCCATTGAAGTTACAACGGATTCGTGCCAGTGTAACTAAAATTAGAATTATTATCCATGGTAACTCAATACACTCCTCTAATCAAAGCACACAAAGCTATCTATCTATGTTTTATTACCTTAATCATGAAAGGAAGTCCCAGATGCTTGAGAACAGTTATTGAATGTTTTACCTCTGCCATCAGTTCAAACGTATCATACAGTTCAAAGTCAGTAACAACATCCATATTCAGAGTTATATATTTGTCATCATATTGAATTTCAAAGGTTGTTTTGGCTTTGTTTTCTAAAAGCAATGAACATAACATTAATCATGCCATTTTAATGGGCTCCATCCCATTCAGTGCAGGCTTATACAAAAGCAAAAGTGCCAGTGAATATGCACCTTTTGAGTAAAGCCATAAAACATCAGACACTCTAGAATGGCATGGGCTGTGGTCTTGGGTTTGCTGAGCCCAAACACTGGCTTCTTTAATTGCGTTTGTATATATTAAGCCAGGATCTAGCAAAGCATTTAAGATTGACTCCTATGAGACCAGTTGCATACTTAAAAGTTATACACAATGTGCTTTGCAAGATCAGGGCTTTATTGTCTGTCAATACACATGGTTTTTATACCACCCAGCATACTGGTATAGTTTCCTTTAGCAAATAAGACCTGTTTTGAGGTCAGTCGCGCCCCTCTATTACAAACAGAGATCATAATATTTCAAATGAAATGTTTTGTTCTTTTTCCCCCTTCCACTCCCACTTTTTCAGTAGCAAAATGGAAAAAGGACATAAAAGGAGGAGGGAAAACAGGAGGGAAAAAGGGGGGAACCTGAAACCCAGAAAAGCTTTAGAGAAGCAGACAAAAATGTGGAGAGCCATGCAGTATGCTGGCTTGTGATCCAGTCTTTCTTTAGTGGCTGGCTCAAGTGAGAGTGAGCACCTATTAACAGCTAATGGAGTCACACCTTTTGATTTAAGTAGTAGGGCTTTAGCTATTGGTACTGAAAGTATTGCCTTGGTCCCTGCTGACCTCCATGACACCTGTGCTTACGTGACTGTGGGTTCCTTACATCACACAGAGTTTACCTAAATGTGACCATTCTTCCATTTGGGCACAGAAGACACTTCTTGCAGTGGGAGATAGGAAGTGAAGATGGAGATGAGGTCTGCAACCTCTAGTGCCATGCAGCTGTGGTGGCCCCTTCTGTGTTTATGTTTGGAGGGCAGGCTGGCATGTGGCAAGTGGCTCTGTCTGCACCTAAGCAGATCCACAGGCCAAGCCATGTAGTGGTGGTAAGGTTTTAGGTTGCCATGGAGACTACTATAGCCCTTCATACACAACTGCTGGCCAATTCACCTAGGTCAAGCCTGCTTACTTGCTCTTGGTGCAGGGACCAGGTTTAGACCAGTGGTGCCAACTGAGAGGGCTGGGGTGGGACGGGGGCAGTTTGTGCCACCTCTGCCCCTAGGTTTTTGCCTTGCTCAAAGTTCTGTAAGCCACAGAGCCAGAGGCCAGGGCCTGACCATTCCAATGCAGTGGTACCTGGCACACAGGGTTGCAATGCCACTCAAATTTGGCCTGGCCACGCCTCCGTCCAGATGAGGGGCAGCTGGGTCAAATGGCGTTGGCAACCTGGCACAAAGGAAATCTGTTCCTGTACAGCAGAGCACAGGGGAGTCTGCCAAGAATTCGACTCCTAGCAGCACCGGCTGTGTGAGTAAGAGAGGGGGAGACTCCTTGCCCAAGAGAGACCCGGGATCCCCATGGAAAGAAGGGTGGGGGGAGATGAGCAGGAACCAGCACATGCTATTAGTGTCAACGGCCCTTTCATTTTATTTAAGCATTATGAGGCAAATGTTAGTGATGGTGTGTGGCCTGAATAACTGGGCTGTGCGCTCAGGAGTTCCATATGGGCTTGAGGGAAGGAACCTTTCCCTCCACCTATGCTCTGTTGCCAGGACTGCAGCAATGTGTGCTCCAACCGAGTCCCTGTCATCTGTATTGACAAATAAACCCTGCACTGTAAATCCCTTTGGACCCGTGCTCTGCCGCTGCACACACTGGTTGGTTTCTGCACCCTGTGTGGGGGCTCCCAATCCTACTTTCCCCCCTGCATACAGCAGAACTGCATTGGTTCCCTGTGATCAGGGCCCTCCTACTAAACCCCAAATGGAAATCTCATCACTATTGGATGCACTGCTATTTTGGGGAGGTAGGGAGAATTTCATGCTGCAAGTGGTGTTTTTTGTTTTTTGGGGGGGAAGGGGGTATGCAACAGATGACAATGGGCGGGCCATTAACCAGGTTGATCATTAATTGGTCAATGTTTGCCTTGTATCTCAGTTCTTCTCATTGTTACATAAAGGGAAAGAATGTATGTGATAGAGAAATATGTGCAATAGTTTGACTGCTTAAAAAAAACCCTAGAGACTCATCTTTCACGGCATTAATGATTCCAGAACTGCTGAATTGTTTTCAAATAGCTAAAATAGCCTGTAAAAGCTGATTGGAAGCTGAAGACAAAATTATACCTGAAGCAATTTGTGGTAGAGTGAGTGCTCTCTTGAGGTTAAGGCTCTGACCTGGGACTCAGGAGATGTGGGTTCAATGCCCAGCGCTACCACAGATACTCGGTGTGACCTTGGCAAGTTATTTTCCATCTGTGCCCCTCATTTCCCCATCTATAACACAGCAATAATGCTGACCTTTCTCCCGCACTTTATCAATCTTGTCTAATTCAACTGTGAGCTCTTGGGGTAGAGACTAGTGTTTTGCACTGTGTTTGTACAGCACCTAGCACAATGGGGCCCTGACCTCAACTGGAATACAAAAAATAATATATCTAACTCATCTCATGACATACACATTTTTAAGTGCTACCATTTTTATTGGAGAAAGGAAACACTGAATTTTTAGACAGTATCGGTGGCACACAGCAAATCAACTTGCAAATAATTACACAAACAGTAGTAACAAACACAAAGTCCTGTTGCATAAAAAGACTGCAAAAAAAACAGCATCCTACCTAGTTTCTGTAACACAAGAGTCAGATTGGTCGCCTTAGGGTAGCCAAATGTCAGTAGTGCCTCACTGTTATGTACACTTTGGCAGAAAATTTCCATTTGCTGGCCAACGTAACGAGAGTTAACTGTGTACGTGAATGATGTTTGTCCAGCCATAATTTGCACATGTCTCTCTTGAGTGGAATTTAATCTTTGAAGGGATACAACCATCTGATAAAAGATATGTATAAGTACTGAAAACAGACATTCAAAAATAATACGACAGCAGAAGGAAAAGTTACTTTTATCTATAATTGTTACTAAAATTGACCCATAAATAGCAGAGCTTTAACCCATTCATTCGTTATCGATTAACATTTCTAGTATCAAATAGATCCATTGGAATGAACTGCCATTTAACTTAAGTTTAATCAATTGTAGGAATCAATTTTATATCACATATTGCTTAAGTTACACCTTATCCCATAAAAAGATTAAAATATAACTAAGATTATACAATAAACCCTTGACGTGTGCGCACACAAAGTTTAGAAGACAGAAGGATTTTTCTCTTCATTCCATGAGGGGACATTTAAGGAAATATTTCCCTGTGAAGTACACAATTCCCATTAAAATCATGGGCGCTGTGTCTTACTGAGCAATGCAATGCTCTGAAAATCTATTTCTTCAGGACTTGCATTGCATTTTAAATTCCTGATCATCGTATGCGCTATACTATCTATGATCAAAATGGAACAGACTGGTTCACAAACCAACAAATTCATCCTTAAGGCTCATATTTTGGTCTTACTTAGATTGTAAACTTTTGGGGGCAGATACCATTTTTACGTTGTGTGTGTGCACAGTGCCTAGCACAGCAGGGTTCTGGTCCATGACTGGAGTTCCTTGGTGCTACTGGATTACAAATAATAAATAATAATTAATCAAACTATTTTAAAATGAAAAATACCTGGATTGATGCTGAGACTCCAAGTTGTGTCAGCCGTGGCCAATTGTGCTGGAAATTCCCAGTCAAGTCAGTTCTTGCCTCAGTCTTTTGGATTTGTCCTCCCAGAACCATCAGGCAAGAACCATAGAGTGTTTTGATACTGAAACTCTTGCTATCTTTCAGGTCAATGGTAGCCTGTGCGTGATAATATCAACGATATGAAAAAGGGTGAGTTTACAAAAGTTAGAGCGCTCATTAGTCAGGATTCCCTTTTCAGTTCAGGATGGATCTTTGAGATGAGGTATAAAAGAGACGTCCCAGGAGCTTGTGGGTCATTAAGGATTACATGACACTTTTAGAAAGGGAAAGATAACTTTGGTGTTTAGCATTAAATTCCAATTTGGGTAATTACATTCTGGTTACCTCAGTGTTCCCAGCCTCCATCATGTCCAGATGGTTTGTTTCTTCTCCCCTTGTTTTTCTGCTCAGTATTGTTAAACACGTGGTGCCCTGTTTCTCTGTTTGCTCTCAGGTGCAATTCAAGGTAGTATTGACATTGATTTATAAAGCCCTAGCAGGTTTGGGCCCTGATACTTGAGAGTTTGCCTCTCTCCTTGTGCATCAACACAACAGGGGAATTCAGCTCACACATCCTCATTCTTAGTCACTGATTGCCCAGGTGCTGGCATAGTGGTGGGCCCTTGGTTCTGGAATTTATTTTCTCCCTGACAGAGCCCAAATCTCGGGGTGTAAGGCAAAGCCAGTCTTGCCTGAGGTGGCCCCTTCACTTCCCTTGTTCCTTTCAACTTAATTAATAGAATCAGCATTGAAACCGTGCATTGACGTTTATCCAAACATTTCTGTACTGCTTTGCAAATGTCTGTGCATGTGCCCAGAGACCTACTGTATGAAAGAAACTTTAAAAAATAAATAAGGAAATAAATTTCTCCTGCATTTTCAATTCCATCAGCTGTTCTCTCTTCCCATCCTAAAATGCTGCGTTGCTACATGCTGTTAAACAAGTTGTGTTTCAACCCAGAGGTTGCCTTAATTTGGAGATGGATCCTTGTGTATAATGGGTGATGCGCTTTGAGAGGAAAGGCATTATGTACATGTCATATTACTAAATAGAAGCATATCACCATAGTGAGGCCAGGAAAGCTAATTGCAATTATTGCTCATTAATTAGTACATTATGAATTTTTTAAAAGCATATGGTGTGATGTTTACAAACAGAAAAATAAATTCTAATTTCCAGAGACATAGTGTATTATAAATGAACAGCATACCTTTCATTTGTCTGTCTAGGTTAAAAAGTCAGTAGTACCAGACAAACTTTTATTGGGTGTCTGCGATGATTGAGCTACTATTGGGAGGAAGCATTAAACTGTTTTCAGCTTCTGCTTCCTACCCCATAAGCAGGGCGTGTGGTTCTCTCCATTTACTTCCAATCCCTCTGAGGGAACCTGGTGTTCTGCAAATAAATGTCAAGCTTCAAAGCCACGTTTCCCAAGTATTTATGTAGCACGCTCTCCTCCCGTCAGGCTACTTTACTGCAGAAGAGTAGTTGGAGATATTTCAAAAGCCGCACATTTTTTCATCTCTCTCCAATTTAACCCAGACATTTATTCGTAAGCTTTTACCCTAACCTCTTCCATGCAGCTATGGTGTTAATCGGCAGCTGGTGCCATTTCATGGGTCTCTATCTCACAAAGGTTCTCAAGTTTTTTAATTCATTAGGTCATTTCAGCTACATATTGTTGAAACGGAAGAGCCCAAAACCATATGAATAAAACCCTGTCCAGTTCTATATATTGCATTGCTGAAGTGGCTCGCGGCATGTTGATAACCTGGGGACTGTGCTCACACCTCGCCAGTGTGCTGCATGGGGCGGTACATGACGCCTTGGATTAGATTGCCCTGCTGCACCATTATCTCAGGTGGTGTGTGTGCACAGGAGCAGCAGCAGGTGCAGGGCATGTGAGGGAGGAAACCTAAATGCTGACAGTTTTAAAAGAGGAAGCAGGGCAGGCTGCTTCAGTTTTTCACAGAAAGGGAGAAAATAAAGACAAGTGCAAAGTGCTTCACTTAGGAAGGAAACATCAGATGCACAACTGCCAAATGAGGAATAACTGAGTAGGTGGTAGTACTGCTGAAAAGGGATCTGGGGGTTGTAGTGGATCACAAATTAAATATGAGTCAACAATGTGATGAAGTGGCAAAAAAGTCAAACATCATTCTGGGGTGTATGGACAGGAGTGTTGTATGTAAGACACAGGAGGAAATTGTCCTCTTCTACTCAGCACTGGTGAGGCCTCAGCTGGAATACTGTGTCCAGTTCTGGGCACCACACTTTAGGAAAGATGTGAACAAATTGGGGAGAGTCCATAGGAGAGCAACCAAAATGATAAAAGTTTTAGAAAACCTGACCTATGAGAAAAGGTTAGAAAACCTGGGTACGTTTAGTCTTCAGATGACAAGATTTAGGAGAGATCAAATAACAGTCTTCCAATATGTTAAGGGCTGTTATTAAGAGGACTGTGATCAATTGTTCTCCATGTCCACTGAAGGCTGGGCAAGAAGTAATGGGCTTAATGTGCAGGAGATTTAGGTTAGCTATTGGGAAAATCTTCCAACTATAAGGGTAGTTAAGCTTTGGACTAGGCCTCCAAGGGAGGTTGTGGAGGTTGTTAAGAACAGGTTGGACAAACACTTGTCACGGATGGCCTAGGTTTACTTGGTCCTGCCTCAGAGCAAGGGGCTGGATTATACAACCTCCCGAGGTCCCTGCTAGCTCCACATTTCTGTGATTCTATGAAAAGGAAAGTGGAGGCCGTCAAGTGTTTTTCTTGACACCAGGAGGAGAATCTCTTCCATTTTTTGAAGGTAAGTATTACGCGTGTTCACTTTCCTTCTGTTTAGTAATACATGTTTGACTTGTTCCAAGCAGGCTAATTCGCCATGATGGAACTATGCAGGAGCCATGCTTGTAGGTGAATCTCTGGATTCAGGTCAAGAGTGTGACCGTTGTCCAGAAACAGCTGGTCCAAGCGGCAAGGGAAAGCTTGAGGGGCGCATATTGCCATGCATAGCAGGTAAGGGTACCATGCCTGTTTGGGTCATGTCGGGACTATCAGGATGACTTTGGCCTTGTCTATACATATCTTGTGTATCACACGTGAAATTAGGGGAATCGGGGGGAATGTGTACATGAGTTGTGCATCCCATGTGATGAGGAAGGTGTCCCCCAGTGATCATGGTCTCATTCCCACTCTCGAGCAGAACATTGTGCATTTGTGGTTTGTTGGGGATGCAAACAAGTCAATGAGGGGAGTGCTCCACTGGTGAAATATGGATTGCAGGACTCCCCTGTTCATTTCCCATTCATGGTCCAGAGAGAAGTACCTGCTCAGCATGTCCGCCATCAAATTCTGACAGCTGGAAAGGTAGGAGGCCGAAATGTTTATGTTGTGGTGTATGCACCAGTTCCACAGTTTCATGGCTTCGGTGCATAGTGAGTGTGATTGAACACCCCCTTGACAATTGATGCAAAACATACAAGCAATGTTGTTGATCATTATGCAGACTGATTCGTTCCTTGTGTGTGGTAGAAAATGTCTGCAGGCATTGCGTACCGCACATAACTCTAGTAAATTGATGTGCAAATGAGACTCCACAGGAGACCATTTGCCTTGAGCCATGTGTTGATGCATGTGGGCTCCCTAGCTATCGGCAAGGCGTCCGTCATGATTACTATTGATGGAGGTTCCTGTTGGACCAGGATGCCCAGGCATACATTTTCTGGTCTTGTCCACCAGTGTAGAGAGTCCAAGACACAGGGTGGTACTGTAAGTTGTTTGTATAGGCTGTGCTTGCTGCGTATGTATACCAAGCTCAACCAGCGCTGTAGGCAGTGCATATGTAGTTTTGCATGTCGTACCACAAACGTTGTGACTGCCATGTGTCCTAACAGTTATAGGACAGTACGAGCCAGTATTTGGAGACTTACTCTGACCTCCAAGATGAGGTTTGTCAGCGTTATGAATCTGTTCAGAGGTAGGGATGCCTTGGCCTCTATGGCATTTAGATGTGCCCAGATCAACAGTTGTTGAACAGGGATTAGAGTAGTTTTTCGTTCATTTATCTGTAGCCCTAGATCCCTGAATAGTTTGATCATCATCTGGACTGTGTCCAGTGCTTCTTGTTGAGTTGGACCTTTGAGAAGGCAATCGTCCAAGTATGGGAAGAACATTATCCCTTGTTTGCGTAGATGTGCTTCTACTGCTGCTAGAGTTTTGAAGAAGACACTTGGCGCAGTGGACAGGCTGAATGGTAATACTCTGTACTGGAAGTGGTCGTGTCCTACTGTGAATGGCAGGAATTTCCTGTGAGCGGGGTGTTTGGTAATATGGAAATAAGCATCTTGGAGGTTGAGGGCAGAAAACCAGTCAAACTTTTGCAGCGCTGGAATGATCATGCCCAGTGTGAACACCTTGAACTTGTTGAGCGCAAATGAACTTGTTGAGCTTCCTGAGGTCCAAGATAGGTCTCCACCCCCCATTCTTCTTCTGGGTCAGAAAGTAGTAGGAGTAGTACCCCTTCCCCTTGTATTACAAAGTACCCGTTCTTGGAGTTCTTTGGGAATGCCCCAGGATTGCAGCCAGGTTGCCTGGTGCATCACTACAGTCATGGCCATGATTATGGTTGCCATGTCAATTAGGTTCAAGGACTCTTGGAGGACTGTGCAAGTGACAAGTTGGCCCTCGTTTAGAATGGCCTTGCATTGTGCTTGTTGCTCTTCTGGAAACTCCTCAGTGAAAGAGCTCAATTTCCCATAGTTATAATTGTATTTTGCTAACAGAGCAGAATAATTGGTGACTCTGAATTGTAATGTCACTGAGGAGTAAACTTTTTATCCAAAGAAGTTGAGCCTCTTGTGTTCCTTATCTTGTGGGGCTGATCAAAACTGTTGTTGTTTGCCTGGTTGATTAGCAGCGTCAAACATGAAGGAGTTGGGAGGCAAGTGGGAGAAGAAGAAGTTCACCCCTTTGGTGGGGTCTTAATACTAGTTCCTATCCACCTTTTTGCATATCGGCAGAATCGAAGCCGGGGTCTGCCAAATTGTCTCTGCCAGTTCCAGAATTGCATAATTGATGGGCAGAGTGATCTTGGAAGTAGAGGAAGGTTATAGAATT